ATTGAGGCCCGGTCCACCAAATGTGGTTTTCAGCTTCGACGGCCGTTAGTCCTCTTGTGGCGCTGTCGGCAGGGTTGTCGTCCGTGTTAACGTAACCGAAGCGTGTACTAATGTCCATGTTTTCCACGATAGCTCGAATTTCCTCTACTCGTCTCTTGACGAAACGGCCGACCTCCTTCTTGATAGGGTAAGTGGAAATCCACCTTAGAGCTATTTCGGAATCCGTGAAGATTTCAACGGTAGTGAAGTTGAGTTGCTGGGCCAACGCGGAGTGTACCATCAGTGCTATCCTCGTAGCCATCGTTAAGGCGTGTAGCTCCTTCTTCGGGATGGTCATCTGTGTCTTCATGTTGGCGAGCTTCGATCGTGCGAATACCAGGTGAGGTGCTGTACCGGCCACAATATAGGCGCATGCTGCCATTGCTTGAGTGCTAGCATCCGCAAAGACCACCAGTTTCACTTCTGAATGGAGCGATGAAATGAGACGTTGAAAGACTCGTCTGAAGCCATTTACTTGAGCAATTGATTCGTTCCATTCTTTCTCATGCTCACACGAGAGCTTCGTGTCCCAGTCGTAGCCATACTTCCACAGAGACTGGAGGAACAGCTTCCCTTTCACCAGAAGAGGAGTTAGCCAACCCATGGGATCGTAGATGGAGGCGATCTGCTCTGAGACGGTTCTCTTCGTGACCACTGGTTTCGCGATAAATCTTCCTTCAATTACTAGTGTGTCTTCCTTTGAGTTCCACATGAGTCCGAGGACCTTCGTGATGGGTTGTCCGCTTCTGTCCTGGCTTGGGATTGCATTGTTGACGTTAGCGTCGTTAGTTAGAAATCCGCGGAGATGCATGTTCATCTCCTTGAATATCGCTCTGGAAGTCTTATATTTCCTTAACGCTTCTTCCGTGCTGGACGCTGTGAGGACCACATTGTCGACGTAAACATTGTCCTGTAATTCTTCAGCCAGATCCGTATGCTGCGTGTGTCCCTGCAGATGGTACTTGATTGTTCCTGCTAACAAGAATGGTGAACAGTTTAGCCCGAAGGTGACGCGGGTGAAACGATATGTAACTAGATTTGGTCCCTCCGGTGACTGCGACGTGTCTCGGACCCATAAACATCGAGTGGCGTCCCTGTCCTTCACATTGAGATGGACTTGCAGGAATGCTTTCTCGACATCGGCGATCATGGCGATGTGTCCCACTCTGAATCGTAGGAGCATGTCCCGCATGACAGGCAAAATGACCGGTCCCTGGTATAGAACATCGTTTAACGATGGCTTATTCTTGAAGTGCGCGGAGGCGTCGAACACAACTCTCAGCTTCGTGAATTCCTTCGTCGGCGTGATCACGGCTTGATGGCTGAGGTAGTGAACGATGTTACCGTCGGACGGTTGATGGACATCGACTTCTTCAATGATGTTCTTGTCGAGTTGATCCTGGAAAGTTTGGTGATATTGCTGTAATACCTCCGGCGTAGTCCGAAGCTTGAAGAGACTGGAGTGGAGGCGTTTGAGTGCTATCGACTTGTTGTCCGGTAGCGTTTGCGATTCCTCCTTCCACGGTAGGCGGACGTGATACCCATTTGCATGACGTTCGATCGTGGATTCGAAGGTGTTCCATACCATCTCATTGATTTGTTCCTGCTCTTGAGCTTTGCTCCCTGCAAATTCTTGGATTCCAGAGGCTTGCAAAGCGAGAAAGTCGTCCCACTTCTCATCTTCGTGTGGCGTAGTTGAAGCTAGAGCAGTCATTGCTTTCCCTTTAGTGTGCTCGTGGATCCGTCCGGCGACGAGGTATCCGAGCAGCGAGGGGATCAGCCGTAGTCCCGAAGGGAGCGTTTCCATTTTCCTCTCCGTGTTGTCCAGTAGAGAAAATGTGTCGTTACATCCGAGCAATATCTGCGGATGTACCTGGTCGTTTTTCTGGCTTACGGATAGCTGAATGTCGTTTTCAGCGAGGTACTGTTTATCTTCCGTGCTGAGTTTGCTCTGCTGAAGACGTTCTGTGATGTGTCCAATGCGAGCGACTTTGAACCGATGAGTTGTGCCGCGGTCATCGATGATCTGGAGAGTGGTTACACCGCACTCTGTCTCTTTTGGCCGCTGCTCTCCGAAGGTATTGATCTTCATCCGAAGCGTGTCGATATTGTTCAGTCCGAGGCGTTTTGCTAGGTCTTCAGTGACGAAGGAGTGATCTGAACCTGTGTCAAGGAGAATGTGAACGCTCTCCAGGGCTTGTGTCGATGAGTTGAGTACCTCTGCTTCTCCGACGAGAACGCAGTCCTTTGAGTCGTTGTCTGTAGTCTTCATGCACAGCACGGCTTCGACATCTTCATCATCTGTGCCGTCCTCGACCTGGTGATCGATGGTCGAGGAGACGAAATTCTGTCTTGTTGCCTTTCGTGGCGGAGGCTTTTGAGCTGCGGTCGGCATCTTCCTTTCCGCTCCAGGCTGCGGTCCATTCTCTTGGAGAGGATTTGCTTGACGGCATATGGAAGTATGATGTCCGACTTTGTTGCAAATCCTGCATGCTCCTTTCGAACATTCACTGGCCTTGTGATTCCGTTCTCCACAATTCAGGCACAGGGAGTTCCGCTTCATGTGATCCAGTCTTTGTGCTCGTGTGGTGAGCTTCGGACAGTTTCTCGGAGAGTGATCCATCTCCTCACAGAAGAAGCATATGATGCTCTTCCGGCTCTCGATCCTTCCGCTCTTGGGCTTCATTGACTTCGCTGAACCGCTTTTCTGTTGAATCGATTCCTGCTCTCCGTTCGCTTTGCCGAGATGTCGCTGGATTTCCGCTTCGGTATCAATGAATTTGCAAACGTGCGAAAGTAGGAGACCAGTTGTCCATTGATCCGCTTGTTCGTGTTTCATCTTGAGCACGTGCCTTTGAACTGCTTCGTTGAACTTAGACAAGACTTGTCTTTGGAGGAGAACGTTATCGACCGACTCCCCTTTGAGTGCCATCTGTGTGATGATCGATGATACTTCTTCGTAAAGTATCCTCTGATCCTCTATTTGGCTTCCTTGAGCATGGCACTTCTCGAGTCTTCCGGCCAGTTCATTCAGAAGCAGCTGCGGGTCACCATACTTCCTTTTCAAGTGGTCGATCGCCATTGCGTACGTCGATCCGCTGACTTGATACTGCTTGATTGTCCGCCTGGCGTCGCCTCGGAGGGCTTCCACAAGGTAACTCATCTTATGGATGTCCTCAAGGTTCCTGGAATGAACCGAAAGGTTGAAAGCAGACCAGAAGCTTTCCCACTCCCAAACCTCTCCACTGAATGTGGGGATCGGTATGGGCGCAAGGTGAATCGGCGTTGCTTCATCCTGGTGTTGTGAAGTGACTGATGTTGAGAGATCCTCCATTGCCATATCGATCTCTGCCAGACTTGTTTGTGCACGTATGAGCAGGTCTTGGGCCGCTGACGCATTTGTCGATACCTTTTCCAGAACTGCAGACAGTTGAGGAGTACTGTCGTCGAGGGAGTCCGCTGATTCCGTGTAGGATCGCAATGCATTGTCGACGTTCGCAGCGGCTGCTTGGATGTTCTTCTTTAGCTTCACCAGTCGAATCTTCTTATCGTGGAGGTAGGTCTTCCTCATCGCTTGGTCGAGTGGAGGCGTGATGAGAAGTTCGCTGGCGACATCGTCGAGAATCGTGGATAGACGTCTGGATGTCTTCGTGAGCATCCCTTGTCGAATGGATAGTGAAGTTGTCATGGCTTGGTCGTAGTAGCGATCCTTGGCTTTGGGCGGATTCGAGTTTCTCAGACGGGCCGATGCACCATGTAGTTGTTGGAGACGGTCGATAAGTAGAATATTTATTGGTAGGAAGCAGTAGAATACAGCTGGAAGACGAGAATAAGAAGACATGAGGGGCCCTTTGGGGGCCCTTTTATACGGTAATTTTCCCGCCCCAGCGCGCCAGATCACCTAGGGCGGCCCGCGCAATAGGTGGTCAAGGCTCACCCATGGGTATCTACAGCGGAACGAACTATTAGTACAATACAATAATACAAACTATTACTAATGGAATAGAGATCTTTCTCTATAAGGGGGGCATTTTGCACTTTAACGACTTCCCATCGACGTGTCGACCCATCTAGACAGCCTCTTGACAGGTTTTACCATGATGGCTTGACGAGCTTGCTCCAGCTTCACAAGAGTTCACAGGTTTCACCAGAGTGAGACTTGTAAACCAGAACTAGTGAAGCAACGAAAGTGCAAAATGCCCCCCCCCTCCCGTCGGCAAATTGCGCCGGGTCGTAGAATGCAAGGAAGACTACAAAGTATTAAAACTGATCAGCAATATCAATAATTAGCATGAACTCGTAAGTACGTGGATGACTCCTCAAACGGATTCGTGCGTATCGACCTTTCAACCCTAAACAAACCTCTGCTTGCATGGACAAAAATCACCTAAAATCAGAAGTTACACCTTTCCACCACTCTGCGTAGAAGCGTAATGCACGGCGCACATTCGGACCAAATCCATCAGAGTTTGTTAAAAGGGGAAATATTGGGCGTTCTGGTGGCGTTTTTAGTTTTGCAAAAGATTGCGTCTGAGAGAATTTCTTCTCGTCTGAAGCATGAGAACCTCCGGCGATTTACCACTAAAGCGTCTGTATCCGTTCCGAAATATTTCACAACAGGGAAGATTCAGAATGCGAGTAGGTAGAAGACGCAACAGTAGCGACATTGCTTCAACATGCCCCCCCCCGTTTCTCAAGAGTCCCAGTTTTCTACACTTCTTAGCCCCTACGCCCGAACGCCATAATCATTTATCCCTCCACTCCAACTGCAAAACCCTTTCGTCTGCTGTCAAAGGAGCGATTCTGATTGCGTAAATAAAATTTCCCTCCAAGTAATCTGTTCTTAGTTTTGTTTTTCGTCTCCCAGTTAAAATCGAGTTCAAGTCTTTATAGGCATCGATTTTCCGGATGCTTTCTACTTTACTTTTATCAGCTTAACAACAATTGGACTTGGAGATGTGATGCCTTATAACATCCAGGTTGGTGACTGGTTTTAAAGCTTCAAATCTGCCCACTGCCCAAAACAAGTAGCACCCGGACGGCCCCTTTTAACGCTCAGCATCCAATTTGTTTCTCGAGAATTCGTGGTAGTAGCTATTAGTAAAAAGCTAAGAAAAGCTGAAGCTAGGTAAAGTAAAAAAAACAGGTCCGAAAGGTTGTAAGATAGACCCTGTCTTTCTTTGATCAGCTAGTTTTCAGAAGGAGATCAGTCAGTGGTCGAAATAAGAGCTTTAGGGATCCGGAGTCAGAAAGAGTTCTGAGGACCTATTTGAAGAAATCATTCGGACTCCTTAGGCTGCGTTCATACTTTGCGGCAGCGTCCACCAGCGACCAATAGCGTCCACCAGCGTTCCGAGCGTCCGGCAGCGTCAGCGACTAGGAAAGTATAGATATCGATCTAGCGTCTGCCAGCGTGCACCAGCGTCTACCAGCGTCTGGGAGAGGAGAGTGTGGCACGATGGGAGAGGTAACAGCTGGCTGCGTATGGGAAGATAGGAGGGTGGTAGGCTGCTGATAGAGAGTATGGCGCGGGGAGGGTACAAGCTGTCTGCTACCCTCCTATCGTGCCGTAATTTCCTCTCCCGGCCGCTGGTGCACTCTGGTGCACGCTGGCAGACGCTTTCTAGCGTTAGATCGATACCTATACTTCCCTAGCCCTCGAGACGCTGGTGAGCGCTGGTAGACGCTGACGGACTCTGGTGAACGCTATTGGTCGCTGCCGCAAAGTATGAACGCAGCCTCGGAGTGACGGGCTTATGCTCATGAATCGCCACTGTTACTGCATTTTCAGTACTCGCCATTCTTGGCCGGTGCCTTTCTGCTTGGTTTGGCACTGGTCAGTATCGTGAACACAAGTATCTACGCACAGCTCTATGACATTTTCTTCGACTTTGTCGAGCGAGTCGAAAAACACCTAGAACGAATCCATATTGAGCATTTTCGCGGTCATGGATATCGCATTTTTCAGGTTTGTTCCTATTGATAATCACTGATAGTTATTGATCGACGCATTCATCACCTATAATATGATAGGCATGCAGAACGAGTTACTAATAGGATAGTCACAGCTAAAACTTTCCGTCGGAGGTAACCAACCCTGTTCTAGCCTCCTGCTCAGAAAGCGATAAAATCGATCGTTATAGACTGATAACATGTGGTTCTGTATCATTTCAATATCGCTTATTATCTTCCTGTGATGCTGTCCCTTTTAGTTCACCCAGACCTCTTCAAAATAAAGATCAAGCCAGGGTGAAGCATCGCTGGGATCCTTATCAGGGGATCGTATTTCGACACCGGGGAGGGATCGTATCTGGTCAAGACAAAGGTTCCAAGCCCCAAGAGTACAGAACATTTTTCTATACTCAACGTCTCGTGATTTTTGCTATTTCACACGCACGCGCTATATGCCCTATCTTGTTGGGCGTCCCGAAGATGTACTATACAACTACTATTTTCGATAATCTAAATTGCCCTCCTCCCCGCTCGACGCTCGACGGCAGTTTATCCAGTTTTCCATCACCAGCCTATCGTGGAGTCGTCGGCGCCAACCCGTGCTCAACCAATTATTCTCGCTTGCCCAGTTCCAACAATTGGTGGAGGACTGGCTGACGCCACGCCTGACCGAACCTCCTTTTACGCCCCGCAAGTGCGCGAAAACGACTATAATTCATCACGTTCATATGGAACGTTCTTCAAACTTCAATTATTTAGGAAATGGAACCAGTATTTCGAATGCTTGTATGTTCATTTCCACATATTGAAAAAGCCGTTAAAGATGATATGCTGGACTCTATTCACGGCAGTTTCCGTTTGCGAAAGAAGCCCAAGAAGACTGTCCGGGTATGTGCTGCAAGTTTTTTTCTATAGTCAGATATTGATTATTAGTTATATTTTTTCTATAGCAGTTAAAACTATAGAATGATCAACAACAAGCTTGCAGTATTAATCACACCGGGAGCAGTAAGCGAAAAAAGGTCCCTGTGAGGTTCGATTGCTCGTTCCGCGTTTTTCTGCGTGCGGAACTGGCTCGCTGTACCTCGATGCGTTGCGTCTACAGGCCGTCTTAGAAAACAAACGTGCCGTTGAGGAATTCACAATTATGGGCCCGGCTCCGCCCTCACGACGAGCGTGGAATGGCCTCTAGTGGAATAGAGCTAGTGATGCCGGTGAGAAAACGAAGATTGAGCGGCAACGTGTGCGATTTCCACGCTTCTCCCCTTTGACCAACCCATCTTCATCCATTGTAAGGGTTCTTCGGTTTACCGAGACTATGGAGAGGAGAGCTGCATATAATATCTCTGCAGGCCCCCTTTAATTCCCTAAAGTTTTCCTTTTGCCTCAGTCTCTGCTGTTTCACTTTGGCTATTAGCCACTTTCAAAATCGAGCGCGGAGCGCAAGGTGCACGCTCCGCCCATTGTAGGCGGATCTCCGCACATGCACAGACAGCTGGCTCGGAGCACGGCGTGAGCCACACAACACCCCAAAGTTCACCAACTGATAATTTTGTTAGTTAATACTAATCGGATCGCTTCCTTGCAATGAACCTTCCATTCAGCTGATAAGGGTGACTGCTGTATATTTCAGATGGATGTTCCGGATACAACCACTACTATTCATATGCGTAAGAGGACTATCTCTGATGTAGCGGCACATGGCGAGGAGCCACATGAAAAGCCTGTGATGTCACGGCGAAGAGCACCAACGCTTGGTGCCTTAGGTGGTCTAGATTTGGCCAGATTCAGGTGAGGTTACAGTTGGGAGAACTGGTTGTCTATTAGTCAAACAAGCAAGCGCGCCTAGAGCTGGCGCAGTTCGGCTTGGTGGGGGCACCGAAATGTACTTCCGACTGCTTTGTGAAGATCTGTAAATTCGTCGAATCAAAGTGGCTCATATATACCATCTCGCCGCATTACTGGTATTTACAGGTTTCACCGAAGTGTAACATGTAAATCGTAAGAGCTAACAGAAGGAACTAGTGAGAACGCAAAACGCCCCTCTCAAGCCGAACAGCGCCCCCGAATTTTTCGCTTCTCGTACAGAATTTCCTCAGCCTTGTTTGGCATGTGATTCTCTTCAATTTCAGGAAAATGCGCGAAGATCGGCGCTCACGGGAGCGAGCAGCGAACACCGGCGCAACCACGACTGAGGTGAAGTCAGACTCAGAGGACAGCGACAGCGCTAGTGAGCCTGAGACTGAGATTGAAGATTGTTCTCGGTCTACGGGGAGCAATGCCTCCTAATTGACATATTTGCTTGAATTAATGATCTCATATTTATAAAATGATAAAGTATATGACGTCAACGACCCATTTGCGTACATGTGTCTGGAAAGATGTGTTCATAAAAATAAGATCAGTTGTCGATTTTTCTTTGCATAGAGTTCGGTGTGAGAAGCTCCGCCCCAATAAGTACGTGCTCTGCCTACTCAAAGTACAGTGTGAGGAAGAGCCTGTCCTGCATTCCCTCGCTACCAAGAGACTTTACATATCTGAACAAGTCGTTTGTCGGGAGTTTCCATCTTTCTCACATTTTACAAACGTTTCATCGAAATGTCGTTTGTGCGGCAGGGCCACGCCGCCACTTGTGACGCTAAAGGTTATTTATCTGCAATAGGTCTTTGACGTGGTATGTAGCCCCACTCCAATTCAGCTTACGAAGTTGTGCAACGGTGGCTGTTTACTTGCGATTAACGGTTCAAGGGCCGCTCAAAGCACTTATGTCCTTCTCCTGAAGCAGTCTATCAAACGAATTATTATGTGGTACCTAGGTAGACGAGCGAGTACATGTCACTGGTGTCGTCATCAATCTTCGGAACGTCTTCGTTTTTGCAGATCATTCATTCGTTTGATTGGTTCTTTTGGTCTCGTTGCTTGTGGAGACATTGGTTTCCGCGTTTGCTTCTTCCTTTCAACCCTATCAGGACTTCTAAACGGATTGAAATGGATTTTTGGTTGAATTGATTGCAAATACGTATCATACCTAGAGATAAGAGTGGGCGGGGTACGGGCGTGCGGTCGCGTTGCGTGCAACAAGGTCGGGCATCAACCACTTGTTAACTACTTGTTCAGCAAAGTCCGAGGCGTATTCTCAATTATGCCATGTAAAATTGTAAAATGGAGTAACCCAGAGCACCCAGAATGTCTACGCAAACAACCAATTAGCTCCAAACCCCTGAACGCCACGCGACCGCGCGCCTGTATCCGCCTCCCGTCCTAAAAAGATGAAGGCATACCTTATTGTATATCGATTCTGACGATTTGTCGATATCTTTCCTGGATTCCTCACAGTAGCGGACCGCTGTGGACTCCTTGGAGAACTGGGTCGTGGAGAGTCCCTTACAGCAGCGGACCGCGGAGGATCCTTTACAGTACTGGATCGGGGATGTTCCTTCACAGGGCTAGACTGTGGTGGATACTTCACAGTATCAGGCTGTGGTGGATTCCTTACAGTAGTTGGACCGTCGTACTTCTTTCTGGCGCTTCTTCTCTTTGATGTGCATCATTAGTTCACCAGGCCAGAGTGGTACAGTATCCTCTTTCACCGGAGGAGGCGGAGCTTAAATGAGCACCGATTTTTTGAGGTATGATTTCAATTTTCATTTTTTAGCTTAATTTCCTAAAACATCAATTATTCCCTTAATCAGTTCTCAAGAAAGTTTAAAATCGAAAAAAAACCGCGAGAAAATTCTTGTCGACGACGAAACGCTTACATTAGTGCGCGTTCATAGTCTGCGATTTGGTAGCTTCGATGGCGCGATCACAGCGACCGACTCTACCGCTCTAATTATTCTACCAAATCGCTCGCGTGATCAGGGCGAGTTGACCGCGAAGTATGAACGCACTATAACAAGTGGAGCTGCAACCGTGCAAATGACCTGGCGATCACATCCCAGCTAGGACTTTCCCAAGCTAACCAGGTGCTTTCCTTTCCCTTTTAGGCCCACTAGTCAACGTCAAGTGGTCCCAGAGGATGAAGCATTTGCTACTCGAATGGGAGGCAGCTGAGGTACGCAGTCGCACGACTCTTCCACGTCACCTCTGCTTTTTTATGCCCTCTCATCGAATAGAGAAGGTGAAATACATATATCTACGCGTTGACGCCTCAAGCGAAGTCTGGATGTTACCTAAGGCTTGAG